TAGGTAGTGCTGTCGTCTCACAGCAAGAAGGTAGCTGGTTCGAGCCTTGGCTCAGTTGGTGTTTCTGTGTGGAGTTTGCATGTTCTCCCTGCGTTCGCGTGGGTTTCCTCCGGGTGCTCCGGTTTCCCCCACAGTCCAAACACATGCGGTACAGGTGAATTGGGTAGGCTAAATTGTCTGTATGGTATGAGTGTGTGTGTGTGTGTGTGCGTGTGTGTGTGTGTGGATGTTTCCCAGATATGGGTTGTGGCTGGAAGGGCATCCGCTGCATAAAAACGTGCTGGATTAGTTGGCAGTTCATTCCGCTGTGGCGACCCCAGATTGGGAACAACCCACCAGCATGAAGCACGGCACAATTTGGGCAAGACATTAATGTAGGGATGAAGGGGATGGTAAGAGAAGGGGAGGAGAAGAGGAGGAAGAGGATCCACAGTGAGCAGGATGATGATGCTCAGACACTCACAGTGGGGGTACCGTCACTGTAGTGCTTTGGTAAAGTGACTGGACCCCCGATTCAACCTAGGAGTGATGAGAGGGTTAGAGGATCAGAGAGAACATGAAGAACAGTGTTACAGGGCTGGTCTACCTTTAATAAGTTTTAGGGAGTAGGGGATTAGTTAAGGAGACAAAGTGAGGCGTGGTTTCGCTGCGGAACCTTAGTAAACAACATTTAAACTTGTGAAAGTGATTCCTGAACACATCTGATGATGATCACAGAGCGCTGAACAGATCTGCTAGTCCAGGTTGCTTTGTGCACGCTCTGTCTTGTTGATTTGATTATACACGTTATTACGGACACATGTTAATACGGGGCTGTCAATCAATTCGCTGGGCGGGGACACCGCACTCTTACATCATGATGAAGTCCTCCTCAAAATAGGAGGGGTTTGAATCCTATTTTAATATCAGGAAATTTAAAACCAGACTTACTGTGTTTCTGTCAGCCCAGTATGACAGTGGACACACTCACACAGTTCTGCAAACAGCACACAAAAGCCTTTTAAAGCCTTTTCTAATATTCAATGAGTGTCCGGATGTGACCCGCAGTGTGTGTGTGTGTGTGTGTGTGTGTGTGTGTGTGTGTGTGTGTGTGTGTGTGTGTGTGTGTGTGTGTGTGTGTGTCTGTGTGTGTATGTGTGTCCTCTCGTGGAAAAATCAAAGAGAGAGATAGCCACAGATACATGATCTGATTTACCCTGAATGTGTGTTGTGTTGTGTGTGTGTGTGTGTGTGTGTGTGTGTGTGTGTGTGTGTGTGTGTGTGTGTGTGTGTGTGTGTTTAGCTGGTCTTTTGTTGGTTTTATCTGGTTTTTAGCTGGGTTTATCTGGTTTTGGTCTTAAGTTGGTTTTAGCCTGTCTTTAGGTAATTTAAGCTGGTCTGTAGCTGGGTTTAGCTGGATTTTAGCTTGTGTAATCTGGTTTTAGCTGTCTTTAGCTGCTTTTAGTTGGGTTTTATCTGGTTTAAGATGGCCTTTAACTGTGTTTATCTGGTCTTTTTCAGGTTAAAGCTGGCCTTTAGCTGTGTTTAGCTGGCCTTGGTTAGTTTTAGCTGGTCTTTATCTGGTTTAAGATGACTTTCAGCTGTGTTTAGCTGGTTTTAATTGGTTTTTAGCTGATTTATCTTCTTTAAGATGGTCTTTAGCTGCTGTGCAGTTGGTTTTATCTGGTTTTAGATGTTTTAGCTGGACTTGGTTGGTTTACGCGGGTCTTAAGCGTGGTTTAGCTGGTCTTAAGTTGGTTTTATCTGGTGGTTAGCTAGTTTATCTTGTTTAAGCTAGCTTTTAGGTGGTCTTTAGTTGGTTTTATAAGTTAAAGCTGGACTTTACTTTGTTTAAGCCGGTCTTTAGCTTGGTGTAGCGGGTTTTAGCTGATCTTTAGTAGTTTTAGCTAGTTTTAGATGGTTTTAGTTGTATTTTGGCTGGTTTAAGCATACGGCTCCTTCTCAGGACCTGCTCAAACCAGCAGCTTTGCTTCATGCTCGAGCAGCATATGATATATTTTTTTAACCAGGGAACTCATACGCAGTCACACAGCGTTGTTCTGTGGAGTGAGAAAGTCACTCGGTGAATGTGTTTGTGTGTGTGTGTGTGTGTTTGTAGGAGTTTGGCTGACGATGTTGCTCTTTTTATTCCTCTCGTCTTCCCACAGTAATGCGCGGGTTTACTTGCGTCTTGCTATTCCTGCGTCACAACACCTGATCATCCAATCAGAGCCCTGTTCCTCTCATTAACTGGTTTAGCTGGCCATTTAACAGCCTCTTTGCTAATTCAGCCTCTTCCTGCACTGCATCCTCAGTGTGTGTGTGTGTGTGTGTGTGTGTGTGTGTGTGTGTGTCTGAATGCAGGAAATCTGTTTGTTTGCTTTGGAAACATGCAGACGCCCGAGCAGACCTTTCAGAGATTCAGCTGTGTGTGTGTGTGTGTGTGTGTGTGTGTGTGTGTGTGTGTGTGTGTGTGTGTGTGTGTGTGTGTGTGTGTGTGTGTGTGTGTGTGAAAACACAGAGTAGATAATTGACGGTGGTTTTACAGCACACATATTTACACAAGTACACAAACACACATGCTGCTGGGAAATGCACAACAGTATATGCTTTCCTGTGAAATGCAATCTGAATGCAACAGTGCACAGAATATCACATGCATCTAGAGTCTCACACACACTCCTGAAGTGTCTTCACACACACACACACACACACACTCCTGATGGGAATGACTGTGGAGCAGCTTCTCATTGGTGTTGTGTTACTATCACTGATGATCTGGAGGGTCAAACACACTGAAGAGCTTCTGTTCTGCAGATGGAGACAAAATCACAATCACATCCTGCAATCTGGCGCCGGAAATACCCCAAATTCATCTTTACTTTTCTGTCCGGTTACTAGGAAAAGTCGGTAGAATGCAAAATGTCAAGACTCAAGACTTGTATGCATGCTTTACTAATCATTCCTGCTCTCTGAACTCCGTCTCTCTGTGTTTCTCAGGATGAAAATGAGACGTCACAGGGTTTTCTTGATTTGCACGGTGGGACTGTGTGTCATTTCCTTCCTGCATTACTACAAGGCTCTGCACTATGTGTCCCTGCTGAGGGAGCTGTCTGCACCCTACCCCAACATCAAGTCCTTCATCATGGTCACCGGGTTCTTCTGGAAGGAGGGCAGCACCATGTCCAGTGCGACTCCAGAGGAAGCGCCGCCGGATGGGAAGTTGCAGGCCGCAGGAGGCCTGGAGCTGGATCTGGATACGGGACAGGAGCCTGAAGCACCACAGCCTTGGAGGAGACCTGAAGAAGTGCAGCGCAGGAGCTCCAGCACCACCGAGGTACTGCTCCATCTCATCTTTATTTCTAGAGTGCTTTTACAGTGTAGATTGTGCCAATCTGCTTAACATAGATTAACCCTCATGTGCTGTTCAGATTTACTCACCTTTGGTTATGTTGGTGTCTGTTTTTGCTCTATTGGCTTTCATTATAATCACATTTTCTGATTGCAAAGCCATTATTGAGTGTTGCTGATTAATAATAATAATAATAATAATAATAATAATAAATAAATAAATAAATTATATTAATAATAATAATAATAATAATAATAATAAAAATAATAAACAATAATAATAATAAATAATAAATAAATGAACAACAACAATAAAAATAATAATAATAAATAATAATAATTAATAATAATAATAATAATAAATAATAAATAAATAATAATAACAATAATTATAATAATAATAATAATAAATAATAATAATAATAAATAATTAATAATAATAATAATAAATAATAATAATAGATACTAAATAATAATAATAACAATAACAATAATAATAAATAATTAATAATAAATAATAAATAATAATAATAATAATAACAATAACAATAATAATAAATAATAAATAAAAATAATAACAATATTAATAATAATAAATAATAATAATAAAAATAATAAATAATAATAATAAATAATAATAATAAATAATAAATAAATAATAATAACAATAATTATAATAATAATAATAATAATAATAACAATAATAATAATGATAAATAATAATAAATAATTAATAATAATAAATAATAAATAATAATAAATAATAATAATAATAGATAATAAATAATAATAATAATAATAACAATAATAATAATAAAGAATTAATAATAAATAACAATAATAATAATAATAATAACAATAATAATAAATAATAAATAATAATAATAATAAATAATAATAATAATAATAACAATAACAATAATAATAATAATAATAATAATCATTAATAATAATAAGGGGCTTATTTTGAGTTTCTCAAACACCTTGCATAGTTTGCATATGGGGTGGATCGTTACTGACACTTTCAATTAAATCAATTCAACATTCTAGTATATATTAGATTCCAAAATGCATAAAAAATACATGTCCATGTTCTGCTTATCCAGTTTTCTCATTCTCCGTGTGTGTGTTCTTGAATCAGGTTCATAAGGTGGGTTTGGTCCCCTGGAAGCCCAGCAGCCCGACCGACCCAAAAGCCGACCCTCAGAGAGAGTCTGAAGTGAGATCCGCCATAAACAAACTCCAGCCGCGCCACGTTTCGACTCCGGACCCACTGGAAACTCTTGGCGATCTGCACAGGCGCTCACACCTGCTCCAGGACGACCGCAGCCCGTACTTCGTGCGCACTAAAGCGGGCGCGCTGTGCTTCCGGCAGGGCACAGAAGTGGCGCCACCCAAAGACGAAACGCTAAAAGTGAAACCCAGCGCCGCAGGAGTGATCCAGCGGAGAATACTGCAGAAACCCGACGAGTCCAAGACTTCGGGAAAATCAGTGGAGGAATCCAGACTCTCTCGGGGGAAGCCAAAACGCGGAAAGAGACTAGTAAAGTGTGTTTGTCGTGCGGGATGGCACGGCCCGTACTGCGGTGTACCCACAATGGTGTACCACTCCAATCTGCCAACCAAGGAGAGGCTGATGCCTCGTGAAACTCCTCGGCGTGTAATTAACGCCATTAACGTAAACCACGAGTTCGACCTGCTGCACGTGCGCTTTCGGGAGCTCCTGCAGGCGGTCGATGTGTTTCTGGTATGTGAGTCTAACTTTACGGCGTACGGTGAGAGGCGTCCGCTCAGGTTCCTCAATCTGCTGCTCAACGGGACGTACGATTACGTGCGGCACAAGATCCTCTACGTCTTCCTGGATCATTTCCCAGACGGCGGCCGACAGGACGGGTGGATTGCAGATGATTACCTGCGCACCTTCCTGACCCGAAACGGGATATCTCGGGTTGCAGGAATGCGTCCGGATGATGTCTTTCTCATCAACGATGCTGATGAAATCCCGGCTCAAGAAGGAATTCTGTTCCTTAAGCTGTTCGACGGCTGGACGGAGCCTTTCGCTATTCACATGCGTAAATCTCTGTATGGGTTTTTCTGGAAGCAGCTGGGCTCGCTGGAGGTGGTGTCCGGGTGCACCGTCGGGATGTTGAGGGACGTCTATGATAACGATGGGATTCGGCTGCGGAGACGGGAATATTACACCATGCCGGGATTTCGGAAGTACGAGAATGACACTGGACACATCCTGGTGCAGTGGTCCATCGGGAGCCCGTTTCATTTCGCAGGCTGGCACTGCTCCTGGTGTTTCACACCAGAGGGAATTCACTTCAAACTCATTTCAGCCCAAAACGGCGACTTTCCTCGCTGGGGCGATTACGAGGACAAGCGAGACCTCAACTACATCCGGGAGCTGATCCGCACCGGCGGCTGGTTCGACGGCTCTGTGCAGGAGTACCCACCCTCGGACCCTAAGGAGCACATGTACGCCCCCAAATACATGTTGGAGCATTATGATCTCTACCGATACCTGTTGGAGAACCCGTACGCCAAACAGTTTAAACCAGGAGGCGCGTAGGGAGGAATGGGAATGAAACACTCGCTCTCTCATTGGTCAAAACTCTCGAGCCGATCCGTCCAATGGCTGAGCTCCTCATGTGAACACAGAGAAACACAGCAGTTCCGTCTGGTCAATGTTTACATGATCTCCAGCGCTCTGCCGTAGTAGCCTCCTGTGTTCATTGTACATGACTTTCTGTCTGTGTGTGAGTGTGTGAGAGAGCGAATGTGTGTGTGTGTGTGTGTGGGTGAATTTCATTGGTGCACAGACTTTCTTGCACTCCAGAATCAAAAAAGGAAACTCATTGCACAAATGCCACATTTTTTGGGGGGGGGTTTGTTGACAGCTTGTAAATTCCTCCGAACTCAAATGTCTTTTTCTTCAGTCAGAAAAAAAATCTTTGTGTACCATTGTGAGCTGTTCTGAATGAGTTTGCGGACGAGAGAGAGAGAGAGAGAGAGAAGCAGGGCTTTGTTTGAGCTCTGATGGAGCAGATATGGGAGATTTTTACTCACACAAACGAGATTCCTGTCTGAGAAATCCTGACGCAAAAGCTGGGAGAGAGCTGTTTTCTGTTGCTGTTAGATATTTAGTTTGTGATAATGTGACCCACAGCCATGTTGTGCACACTATTGAGGAGATGTCAGATAAAACAAGACGAGCTCTGTTGAGTTTCAAGATATCAGAGCTGCAGCGCAACACAAAGATCATCCCGAATCATCTGCGGCCTTATGAGGAAACTTCTTTTTGCCAAATTTAGATATTCTAATCAATCCTTAAAAAAAAAGCCATGATATGAGAATGCACTTCGAGAAGCTTCATGGAAAAATCAAGGCTGAAAGTCCTATATGGAGGGTAAATGTGTTTTAGGGGGACGAAAGGGATTTTTCATGAGCTATAAGTGGATTTTATTGTCATCTAAATCCAGAATGTTGGTGTTTTTCTCTCATGACCCATGTGAAAAAATCCCTGACTGAAATATCTAACAAACAACAGTCATGTGGTGATTTAATTGCCGTCCAAATCCACATCTCTGTGTGTCTATATAGGAGATCCGTCCTGTAAATCCCTCTTGCACCGTACAGTTGCACTTCAAGGTTATTTGCACTAATTTGTCTTAAAAATGGACACTTGCGTTAGTGAAGTGCTAGTAATCTAGTGTCCGTGAGTCCACTTATTATTGCCTATCCTATAAAGTTGTGTTTAATTGACGATGACTGCTGTCGATGCTGACCCAGTGTGAGTTCAGTTTGATTTGATTTAGGGTGAAACTCTCCAGGAATTTTCCATGCCATATTTGAGAATCTGAACTGTAGCATGTGATTGATCACAAGACATCTGCAGTTCCACATTTGTAGGATTCACCATCAGAAAGCAGGTTTTCCTTTACAGACGTCCCCATGAGAAACAATTGCTTTCCACCCTCACACAAATCTGATATATGCAAATTAACTCTGACATGCAAGTTCATATTTGGCCTTTACATGTATGAAATAGAGCCAGACCTCTGCCAAAAGATAATACGACGCTGTACAAGAGGCATCATTGTGGAAACAAATATTGCTCAGCTTTTATTTACATTTGAACAGAGCGTGTCAGTCAGAATCTGCCAGGGGTCTGAATACTTTACAGCTTGACTGTATATAATTTGCATATATTTCCATGTTTCAGATTTCTGTAAGTTACATTCACCATGGCGTAAATGCTGAAATCATTGCTTACAGCAGCTGTTGTGAGCTCAGCATTGCTCATCAGGGTGGACTCAGATATGGAAAAGAGCCACACAGTGTTTCTTGGGTTTTAATGTCTTAAGTGAAAGCAGGAAACAGTTTCTATTATGAAATCCTGGGCTGGAAATTCCCTTCGCTCGGAGATCAGATCATGCGGGACGTGTGGGGAATTACATTTACAGCGCGAGAAATCCTGACAGCAGCCATTCTGTCTTCATCTGGGGGTGTTGAAGTCCACATCAGACCTGCATTAGTGTCTCCACCGCCTTCAGTTCCGCTTACTCTCAGTGAATTGTCAAACACTGAATTACGAATCCTCATTTCAGAGCTCTACTCAGGACCTTTAAGTTCCACATAAACTCCCACAGGCGTCTGATTACAGCAGTAGAACAGATCATTTCCACAGAACATGATCTCAGCTAAAAACAGATCTCCAGATATAGGAGGTATCTGTGTGAGGGGTTAAACTGCTGCCACTGAACCGTCACGCTGAATTATCTACGGCCCGCGGTTGAGGGTCATCAAATCATGCAAACAAACGATTACTCACTAGTGTGTGCTTTAAAGGGCGCTCGGCTGTGACGCCTGTGTGCCCTGCTCATGTCACTGTCTGCAGTCCTGCCATTCCTACATGTGTAAACAGCCTAAAGATAGAGACGGATCTCAGAGAGAGAGAGAAAGAGAGAGAGAGAGAGAGACAGGTGCTCGTGTGTTTAATGATCCGTTCTGCAGCTCGCTTCAGGCCTCTGGGATCGACCCTTCCTCTGCTGTGCGCTGTATGTTTGGGCTGCTGTGATTCATCAATCAATTTTTAGATTTTTGAATGCATTGCGAGTCCCTCTGGAATCAATTCTGAACTTTTGAAAGGCAGATGTTGCTCTAGACTAGTTATTATAGGCTAGTGTTTAACAGCAGATGGCGCTCTAGGGCAATTTTTGGAACACAGATGGTCCTCTAGGCTAGTGATAGCGCTCTAGGCTTGTGTTTACCAGCAGATGGTGCTCGAGGGTAGTTTTGAACCGCAGACAACGATCTAGGCTTGTTTTTGACAGCAGATGGTGCTCTAGGGTAGTTTTAGCTGCATATACCATTCTTGGCTAATTTCGAACAGCAGATGGCGCTCTAGGCTAGATTCGAACAGCAGATGGCGCTCTAGGCTAATTTGGAACAGCAGATGGCGCTCTAGGCTAGTTTTATAACAGCAGATGGTGTTCTACACTACTTTTGTAACAGCAGATTGTGTTCTAGGCTAGATTCGAACAGCAGATGGCGCTCTAGGCTAATTTCGAACAGCAGATGGCGCTCTAGGCTAATTTTATTACAGCAGATGGTGTGCTAGACTAGTTTTGTAACAGCAGATGGTGCTTTAGGCTAGATTCGAACAGTAGATGGCGCTCTAGACTAATTTTGAACAGCAGATGGCGCTCTAGACTAGTTTCGAACAGCAGATGGAGCTCTAGGCTAGTTTTATAACAGCAGATGGTGTTCTAGGCTAGTTTTGAACAGCAAATGATGCTCTAGACAAATTTTGAACAGCAGATGGTGCTCTAGGCTAGATTTATAACAGCAGATGGCGCTCTAGGCCAGTTTTATAACAGCAGATGTTGCTCTAGGCTAGATTTGTAACAGCAGATGGTGCTCTAGGCCAGTTTTATAACAGCAGATGGTGCTCTAGGCTAGATTTGAACAGCACATGGCGCTCTATGCTTGTTTTATTACAGCAGATGGCGCTCTTGATTAGTTTTATAACAACAAACGATTCTCTAGGCTAGTTTTGAACGGCAGATGTTGCCCTAGGCTATTTTTTAGGCTAGTTTTTAACGTCAGACTGCAGTTAATGCTAGTTTTAACAGTTAAATGCATTCACTTTAACATTTTCCTTATTAAATCATTAAGTTTATTAATGATTGTTCTATGTTTAAGTGTTATAATTGGGAGATACTTTTTAGCATACAGCACCATCTGGTGGTAAAAAGTTCAAGTTCAATCAGTTCAAGAGAGAATTGCATTGCATATAGAAAATTTATGCAGAATCATTTCTCGATTCACAATGCATTGATTTATCATGTCAGCCCTAGTAGATGCACTCGAGATGGAATCGCATGTCTCCGATCTGTGTGTTTGAATCAACTCACATCTGCATATCGAGCAGTTTACATGAGCAGAAATATCTCTTTATTAACCGCCTTATGAATGACCTCATGACTTGACCTCCTATTTTGCAGGCAGGAGAGCCAAACTCATATCTGGACAACCACTGTGCCATATTGTGTTTTACAAGAACATTTGATGTGATTTATCCAGCTCTGGATTTGTGTCACAGCAGTCGCTCTGATGGGATTGTGTGTTGAGTGTTTAGCGCACGGTTACTATAGTAACGTTTAGTAAATATTGTAGTGTTTTTGAACCATACTGTAGTAAAGCACTGTTGTTGTGATACTACAGTTGCTATAGGAACACAACAACCATTGTGATCAATCTGTTGTGGTGATTCTAGAGTTGCTATGGTAACACAACAACCATTGAGATCGATCTGTTGTGGTGATTCTACAGTTGCTATAGTAACAGAACAACTATAATAATATAAACAAATGTCACAATACTGTAGATTTCCACAACTATAGGGTATATTATACCACAATACACCACAGTTTACTGCAGTAAAAATGTAGGTATCCTACAGTATTTATTACAGTTTATCAGTCCACTGTAGTATTGATTTGTTAACACACAGAGTTGTAAATACTATTATAAAAACAGTACAATACACTTTACTATAGTACAGTTGAAAAACACTGCAGTACTTACTGTAAATGACTATAGTACAGCGTGAATGATGATGCTTCAGATGATAAATCTCTCTCTCTCTGTCCACAAACGTTCACTGTTTTGCAGTTCTTATTGTCATTTTTGTTTTGTGTTGTTTGCTGTTGTAAATGTTGTTGTTGTTTACATTATTTATCTAATTTATTACTATCCTGTTTCTGTGTAGAAAAGGGAAGACCGATCTGTCAAAGGAGAGAGATGCTGTTCTTCTCTGACTCTGTGTGAAACATCTCTCTCTTTCTTCATTCTCATCCCTCCATCCCGTCCTCTCGCTCCATATCATTCATCCTAAACATGATGGGGATGGTTAGAACAGTTCATTATTTATGCTAGTATGCAAACACACATGCTGTAGTACTGTTGAACCTCAAGGGGGCGATAGAGCATCCTTCATTAAAATACTGACTAAAGCCACAATGAAAAGCTTCTTCAGTATTGTGACACAGTGGAAATGTGGAGGCGGGGACTTGATTTAATTCAAGTTGTTGATTGGATGCTGAGATATTGGCCTGTATGCAAATAAGCATCAGATTGGTGGGTGGAGTTAAAGAGCGCTAGATGATTGGAGAGCAACAGTGGGCACAAAAGTGACGTGAGCCAATCAGGTAATACTCTCACATATATCTTGGCCCCGCCCATCAACTTTAAAGCATTATAAGGTGAAACACAACATATGCGATCTGGAATACACTACACATTATTTTTGATGCACTATACATCATAGACTTTATAAAAATGGACACGCATGACAAATGCAAACATAAATAATAAATAAACGTGCATTACAGTGTATTGCAGTCTTCACTGAACACTCTAAAGCTGTTGCTCCATCATGACTGAATGAAGAAACTGACCCCAGATCAAGTGTGTTTACAATAATCTCTCTGACGTGTGTGTGTTTGCATACTTGTGTAGATTTTGACTTGGGCTTTTGTATATTTGTTTTGTGGGTCACCCGCAGCTCACGGGCCGTTTGTGATCAGCAGATGGAAACAGGTTTAATAGTAGCGCTGACATATGGACACTGAATATCATGTGAGCTTAAATGCATACAGATGATTGAAGCCTTCTGGGTGTCATTATCAGCTTTATCTTGTGTTTGATGATGAGATGATGTGTGTTCAAGTGAGTCAAACACCACTCAGGACACACACACACACACACACACACACACACACACACAAATGTCTGTTTTTCTCTCCTTGTGGGCTCTTCTCTTGGCTTTAATGATGTTTGTGGATTTTTACATTTTATAAATGCTTCATTGTGTCTGATTTATAGGTTTGTTTTCTCAATTGAAGTCTTTACAAGTCACCTTGAAGTCCCCACTAGGATATAAAAACATGTCCACGCACACAGACACACTTTTCAGGAAATAATAGTGAGCATCCTGTGATAGTCCGGCCTTGATCCGAATCCTCCAGTGTGGTGGAACTGTTCATCATATCTGCACTGCGTCTCTTCACAGCGTAACTTATTCTGTAGGTTCTGCTTTTACTATATTAAAGGATTGTTTTCTGTCGTTATATTTTCTGCTGATGTTTAATGTTTCTTCTCATCATGACATGTAACCGTGTACGAGATCACTATTATTGATGCACTGTATGGGGTTGTGTTCATAATCAAACCAGTTTTAGCCCTCCTGTCATCTGACATTTAATGTGCCGCGGAAAATTCACCTTTATTCTCTCCTCCAATCACATTCATTCTCCTCTCACACTCCTCCAATCACATTCATTCTGCTCTCACACTCCTCCAATCAAATCTATTCTCCCCTCACACTCCTCCAATCACATTCATTCTGCTCTCACACTCCTCCAATCACGTTCATTCTGCTCTCACACTCCTCCAATCAAATCTATTCTTCCCTCACACTCCTCCAATCACGTTCATTCTCCTCTCACACTCCTTCAATCATGTTCATTCTCCTCTCACACTCCTCCAATCACATTCATTTTCCTCTCACACTCATCCAATCACGTCCATTCTCCTCTCACACTCCTCCAATCACATTCATTTTCCCCTCACACTCATCCAATCACGTCCATTCTCTTCTCACACTCCTCCAATACCGTCCATTCTCCTTTCTCTGTCCTCCAATCACATCCATTCTCCTCACTCTCTCCTCCAATCTCGTTTGTGTGTGTGTGTGTGTGTGTGTGTGTGTGTGTGTGTGTGTGTGTGTGTGTGTGTGTGTGTGTGTGTGTGTGTGTGTGTGTGTGTGTGTGTGTGTGTGTGTGTGTGTGCGAGAGAGTTGGTCATGCTGAATCTGCACTCAGATGAACAGAGTGTCAAGGGGAAAAGGATGAGAGTGTGTGAGAAGACGAGCGTATTTCTCTCCTGCACTGCTATGAAGGAGTGTGTGTACATTAAATGAGTTTATACAATCCTTTTTGTTTTGTGTATATGAATGGCTATATGTTAACCTAAATTACAGATAACAAATTCTATGACAAAAACTATAATAAATTAATTTAAAAACCTCTTGTGTATTTCTACTTGCCCTCCTCCAGGTTAAACTAGACTACAGTAAAATCAGAGACAGCCGTGAGTGTTTTACTGTGGTAAATTCACACATATGGGTCAGAGATTCATTTCTGAGCATCACAATTTTGTAGTTTAATGCATCTTAAATATTTGATTTAGTGGGTTAGTATATTATAATCTTTAACATAACATCACAATATTTAAAATGTTAGGGTGATATGGAATTGTGCAGTCAAAAAACATGGTTACTACAAGTTTAACCTTGGCATTTGTGCTGAAACTGTGGATATACAAATTGAAGTTGAGTCAAAGCAAAGCATGCTCACTACTCTTGTACTAGGCTTAGGTAAAGTATGGTTTACTTGTATTGTACCATGGTCTGTCTAGTTTAACCATGCTATTTGTAGTATACATGTGTAGTTGCACTGAGTACAATAGTTTTCATACATAAAAAAACATGGTTAATGTGTGCTATACCGTGATCTAACTGCAGGAACACTAGTTTAACCATGGTATTTGTAGTAAAAACAGTGAATTGTATTCAATGCACCCGAAAAAACACGTGTCGCCTACTACGGTTTTACTATCTAAAAAGCATGGGTAATTTGTGTTATCCCATGGTTTTATTACAGTGACACTAGTTTAACCATGGTATTTGTACTGAAGCTTTGGTTATATAAATGGTAGTGTGGTTATTACAGTTGTAATGTTTATTTAGAACCATCGTTCATTTGTGTAGGGTCTCTTCAAGCCTTTATTAGTGACATCAGTGCACACTAGAGGGCGGTATGTGCTCATTACTTCACCGTCAACTGAACACCAAACTCCACAGAGCACCAGCAAAACACACAGCAGGTGCTGGAGGTCAGTCGCTCGTGTTTCTCCATCAGACTTTACTCACCGTTGTGTTGAGTGAGCAGTTGTTTCTGGTGTTGTTAGTCTTGTTTCTGCCCACATTCAGTCTGGACTGAGCGCTGTTTGTTGTGGTGTGTGTGTGTGTGATTTGGCCAGAGTGTGCTTTCAGCAGGCATTACAGCATGATGCTGTTGTTTTCAGTGGACACCCGAACACAAACACCTCTCAGCAGATTTATATCTCTCTCGTGACAAATATACTGATTGTGTTTGTTTTTGGAACCATACTGTGTATATCATCTGCTGTGGTAATTCATCAGTTACTATGGTAACACGACAACTGTAGTAGCCTAATTGATCTGTTGTGGTGATTCTACAGTTGCTATCGTAACATGACAACTAAAGTAATTGATTTGTTGTGATTGTGTAGTTGCTTTGGTAACGTTGATACGTTGGGCTGATTCTATAGTTACCATGGTAACACGACAACTATAGTAACTGATCTGTTGTGATTCTGTAGTTGCTATGGTAACATTGATATGTTGTGGTGATTCTATAGATACTATGGTAACACGACAACTTTAGTAATTGATTTGTTGTGGTCATTTTTTAGTTCCTATGGTAAAACGACAACTATAATGATTAATCTGCTGTGGTCATTTAATAGTTGCTATGGTAACACGACAACTAAAGTAACTGATCTGTTGTGATTCTGTAGTTGCTATGGTAACATGACAACTATAGTAACTGATCTGTTTTGGTGATTCTGTAGTTCCTATAGTAACACAACAACTATACTACTTGATTTGTTGTGGTCATTTAATAGTTGCTATGGTAACACGACAACTATAGTAATTGATCTGTTATGATTCTGTCGTTGCTATGGTAACATTGATATATTGGGGTGATTTTGTAGTTGCTATAGTAACACAACTATACTTTTGATAAGCCCCGCCCTCCTTAGTTATTGTTTTGTTGCATGTTTCAGTTTTATCGTCACGTTATAATTAGAATTTTGGTGTTTTTTAAGTAAAATTGTAGGGTTTGATATTCTTGCCATCATGATATGCATATGTCTCATTTAAAGGTTTATTTTAGGGCTCATAAATATTGAGACGACAGACTGAAGCACTGTAAATCAACACACCTGAGCAGTTCAGTATTTACTTGCTGAATTTAATAGAAACCATATAAACATACACAGGTAACAGAGACATGCTGGCTTTCCTCTGCTGAAGTTGCGTGTGTGTGTGTGTGTGTGTGTGTGTGTGTGTGTGTGTGTATGTGTGTGTGTGTGTGTGTGTGTGTGTGTGTGTGTGTATGCGTGTGTTTGGCTGCTGTGGAATGTGTACAGTTTACAAAACAAAGTATTTTCGAGTTACATTTACTAAAACCCAGAGTTTACTCTGATCAGTGTCCAGCTTTACTGAATTCTCTGTGGATCTGTGATTCGCTTTCAGGGAAATAAAGTCTGGAGTGTGTCTGAATTTCTTTAATCTTCACTAAAGGTGCCTGAAAATGACATTTCCAGTTGTTGTCAGATGTTGTTTGTATGAAGTGGCGCTAATCTGTACATTGACACACACACACACACACACACACACACACACACACACACACACACACACACACACACACACATATTAAGTATGACACATTAGTGTCCTTTCTGCCCACTGTTTTATGCTCACACACACACACACACACACCCGCTCACACACACTACCCAAAAACACACACACACACACACACACACACACA